CTGCCCTCCACTTTTTTTTTTTCTGCTGTATATTTTTGACCATTTTTCTATTTATTGATACATATAAGTTATTAGATATTAAAAGGTACTTGTTTGAGTTTTCCAGATAATTTATTTAGTTTTTAGTACAATTTATGGAATGGCTCTCAAAATTAAAGGAAAAATTTTTAAAGTCAGTTTATTCAAAATTACAGTCTACATATTGTTCTTAGTTATTATCCTAAGCAACTGTTTTCAACAGTTCACTAAAAAATATCTTTTTACCTTTAGTTAAGTTTTAGGAGATTAAGTTACTTTTCTGTAGTCTTCAATTATACAGGGTGGGGTAGAAGTAGATTTATAATTGTTTGTATGGAAAATGATACAATAATTAATAAATAATAATACAAGAATAAACTGGTTTTGTGCACTCATAACTGTAAACCTACTTTTGCACACTCTGTTTCACATGTAGATGTGATGGGATGACCAAAAATAGAATTGTTATCTTTTCTATACAGCAGATTCCAAACATCATAGAGTACTTCTAATCTCACCTAACTCCAGCTAATTTTTGTAGCATTTTGCTTAAATTACTTTTTTAGGGTTAATTATCTGAAACCTATTAGAATATTTCAGGGGTTCTCAGGAGGCTGCTGCTTTCGCAGTGCTCCGGCATACTGGTTGTCCTTCCTGGCTGCACTGTTGAATCACCTGGGGAACTTGAAAACTTCCAGTACCAGGACCCCATTCCCTACGCATTTTGATTTAATAGGTCTGAGATGAAGTTGGGTATTGATACTATTTAAAAAGCTTCCCAGATTATTCTAATATACAACTAGTGTCTAACATGCAGCTAGCTTATTTCTAGGGTAAATAAATTTGATTTAAACTTTCTCTTATTACTTTTCTTATTTAAGATTTTATTGCATGAAGTTCCCATTGAAGGGCAGAAAAAAAAGAGAAAGAAAGTTTTGTTGGAAACTAAACTTCAAGGGAACAGTGAAATAACACAAGGCATATTGGATTATGTAGTAGAAACCACCAAACCAATTTCTCCTGCAAACCAGGGTATCAGAGGTAAAAAAAAACCCCACAACTTTGTTTATTTCTTTGTTTCCTTCTTTTTTTCTTAAGCTCTTTCTTTTTTATTTAATTTTAATAAATCTTTATAATTAAAAGTATTACATATATCTCTCCCCACTGCTTTTTCTTTAACACAGTTGCTTTAAATGCTTGTGGAGAAAGACATTTAAAATATATATTAAAATCAATTTCTTGTTACGCTCCTTTTCATTTAAAAAACTTAAAAGAGACTGAAAATTGTTTAATGTACAGCTAAGCCCATGAAGAAGTAACCTGAGTAAAGAAAAAGTAACCTGACTTTAATTTTTTTAATGATTTAGAGAACAACCAAGGGGGGGTGCCATGAAACTAAAAGAAAGTACAAACTACTTTTGCTAGAAATATGGTTTCTCAGGTATCTTTGAACTGCAAAGATGAGAGGTTTTAGAGTACAAGACTTGTAGGTTATTATTTGTCTCCCTTGCTGCCAAATCAGGAAAATAAACTAAGAATGGTGGTTACAATTCAAAAAAATAGTTTGTAGCCCAATCAGATTTTAATAAAAATCTGAAATTGAGGGCAGAGGTTGAAGATTAAGTGAAGAGATGCTAAACTTTTAAAATTTTGCAACTTATACACCACCCTCTTTAGCTACCCTAGACTGTAGTAAAATTCTTACCGTCTGCATCCCCGCCAAGTGAGGAGTGATATGCTGTTTGAGCCTGCAGGATGCCTCACTGTTGAGCTGCTCTGCCAGTCCTTAGCAGGACAGGGTTTTTTTTCCAGGCATAGGAAACTTCTCTTCTATTGAGTCAAGACCAGGACCATGAGTCTACTGGTTGATTGTCCACAAAATGAACATTATCAGAATCATCAGTTTTTATTAAGGCATATTATAAAAATTGACTGTTCTTACTGCCTTTTTGAAATATTTTAATTCTCAGAGTAATTTATAAAATATAAAAGCCCATTATTTTTTATCTTTACTGACTTTTCAAAAAATGATTAGGAAAACGAGTAGTACTACTGAAGAAATTTCCTTTGGATGGGGAGAAGATGGGCAGAGAAGCAGCATTATTTATTGTTCCATCAGTTGTCAAAGGTAAAGTTCAAGCTTTATCTTATGAATCTTTTGTGCCTTACATGCTAAGTTAAAATCTATTTAGAAATTTAGGAATTTGCATTCATAGTTACTACATAATACTGTTACATAAAATACATGTTGTAATTAATGTAAGATGGAGAAATTTGTTAAACAAATATATATTTTTAAAATATATGTTTATTGATTCAGAGAGGAAGTGAGAGGGAGAAAGAGATAGAAACATCAGTGATGAGAGAGAATCATTGATCATCTTTCTCCTGCACGCCCCCTACTGGGGATCAAGCCTGCAACCTGGGCATGTGCCCTTGACCGGAATGGAACCCAGGTCCCTTCAGTCCACTGGCTGACGCTCTTTCCACTGAGCCAAACCAGGTAGCGCTAAACAAAGATGTTTTGATTTAAAAATAATATTCCAGCTTCTGGACTGAAAATAATGTTTTTCCCAGCCATAGTTGGGGGGAAAAGTTCAGTTTTTAAAATTATTTTGGAAATCTTATTAATCAGTTTTATAATATTGATAGCATGTCGGCTGCGGACTGAAGGGCTCCGGGTATGGTTCCAGCAAGGGCATATATCCAGGGTTGCGGGCTCAATCCCCAGTAGGGGGTGAGCAGGAAGCAGCAGATCAATGATTCTCTCTCATCATTGATGTTTCAATCTCTTTCTGCCTCTCCCTTCCTCTCTGAAATTAATAAAAATATATTCAAAAATAAATCTAAAATAATTTATGTTATATTTAACTATTTTTATAAACATATACTTTTAAATAAGAAATATGCTGCTGTAAACCTTTTATATGATAATTCTTAATTTTTCTTTTCCAGATAATACTAAATATACGTATACTCCAGGATGCCCAATTTTTTACTGCTTACAAGATATTATGCGAGTCTGTAGTGAATCCAGCACTCACTTTGCTACTCTTACAGCAAGGATGTTAATAGCCTTGGATAAGTAAGAACTGCCATTAAAAATATTTTTTAATAAAATATATGTTGATAATAGAAATTAACTCTGATACCAACACTTTGGGAAGAAAATAATGAAATTAATAATGTATGTATTCATAAATGGTAAATTTTTTTATTTTTTATTTTTTTACTTTAAATTC